TGAGGTTCGCTAATGGTAGATACCTTGTCTGAGCACCGAGCAGAGTTTTACTCATAAAGAAAATTCGCAAGTGTTGTATTCCTTCTGTACGACCAAGCACTACGCTGACAACATGCTGAAAAAACTGCAAGGTACAAATAAAGTTCTTCCCCAGGCTTTGGGGTCACTAGAAGTGGAAATAAGGACAAATACGGCTTTAAATCCTCCAGAGCGCGGTCACATTCTTTATCCTAGTTGAACTTTGATTTTATCACCTAGAAAAATCATCTACAATGGTCTAAAGACCAGTCAATAAATCTGTTCAGCACGGCTACCAATCCTGCAAGATATTATACTTCCTTTGGAGTGTTTGGTCTTTTTAACTCTTTAATCGCTTTGATTTGTGAGGGGTCTACTTCTGTTCCATGGTTGGTCACTAAGAAGCCTAAGAATTTACCTAATCTCACACCAAACGCACACTTGGATGCATTTGAACGTAGTTTATCAGTCTTTAAAATATGAAACATCTCAAAAAGGTTGTTGAGATGGTCGAACTTGTTCTTGCTTTTTTTATCACCATGTCATCAATGTATGCCTCCATTGACTTGCTAAGCAGAGGGGTGAATATCTTGGTGATCATCCTCTGAAAGGTTGCCTCTGCATTCTTCGAGTTGTGAAAGAAGTGATCTCTTGGTTTGGCTTGTACATAGTGATTTGATGATATCCACGATATGTATCTAGAAAACTTAGGCAGTTATGACCTACTGTAGAATCTATCAACTGATCAATCCTTAACAATGGGAAATTATCTTTTCGGCACACTTTGTTGACCGTTTTGTAATTAACACAAATGCAACACTAATCATTTTTCTTCAGCACAACAATAGTGCTTAAAATCCACTTAGGGTAATGGACTTCTCTAATTACCATTGCCTCCAATAAGTTTTCTACTTCTTCGGCCACTACCTCTGCATAGTACATTGCCGACCTGTGAGTTTTCTGAATGACTGGTCTAGTATCTAGGTTGACATTGAGTTAGTGGCAGATCAAGCTTGGATCAATGCTAGGCATATTGTAAGGCGTCCAAGCAAACACTTCAATGTTAGAAATTAGAAAGCCCATGATTTCCTTCATTTCATTACTAAACAAGGATGAGCCTAACAAAAAGAAATTTTTCGAATCATTCTCATCAATCCTTACTTCCACAAGCTCTTCAACGACTTTCTCTTCAGCTTCATTACTAGCATCTTCAAGAACCTCCCCGTCTTCCGGCTCTTCGATCATCTGAACAAATCCTTTGGCAACTTGGCTACCTTTTTACAATGGGAAAACATTGCTTTAACATAATTTGATCTCCCAGGACCTCTTCAATCCTCTCTTGTGCATTGGGAACCAGGTGGTGCGTTGATGATATGGCTTGCATGGCATGCAACCATGCTCTTCCCAGAATAATATTATAAGTGGATAGGACCTTCAACATCTAAAACTCCACTTGTTTGACCACCGAACCCACTTTGACCGATAGTATGATCTTACCAACTGGCCATTCGAGCATTGAATTGAAGCCGACCAAGGGAGACGTGGCAGGTGCCAAGCCTCTTTCGTCCAACTTGAGTTGTTTAAAAGCATCATAGTACATGATCTTAAACGAGCTACCCTGGTCGATTAAGATCCTCTTGATGTCATAATTTCTGATGCACAAATTTACCACTAGTTCATCGTTGTAAGGATTTTGTAGTCTCGCCAAATCTCTATCAAAGAAAGATCTCTATCTTCCCCTTCTTGAAGGTCAACTGGACATTGAGTACTTCCCTCATGTGTGCAGCCTTCTTAATCATACCTCTTACAAACTTGCTCAAGGTCAATCATACCATGGATCACATTGATAACTCCTTGAGAAAGGGCGTCAAAGGGCATTCCATTCGACATGTCTTGATTTTGGAAGGCTGCCCTAGCTTCACTTTTGATGAAGCGGTTTAAGTGTCCTACTGCAACCAGCTTTTCTAAGTGTTGTTTAAGTGGTAGACAATCTTCAATTCGATGCCCTTTTTCATCATGATATGTGCAACGCTACTTTTCATCATAGCCCTTCTGTGCCTCGCCTAACTTGGTTGGCCATCGAACGTACGACTTGTCTCAAATTTCACTAATGATAAGGTAGATGGGCTTCTTGAATACCATAGTGATAACAGTGCTAGCTTTCAACTTCCTTGCTTTCTCCTCTTCATTGTTCAAAAGTGGATTAGCCCGGTTATTATTGTTGCAATTCTTATTGTTATAGTTTCTGCCTTGCTTTTCATTTTTCCCAACCATGTTAACTTTAGCTAAATTTTTGTCTGCCAGTGCTGTGGCGATCTTTGCTTTGCATGAGCAAAATCTTCTTTAACCCTTATGTGCTAGTAAACCATTTCCATTATAGCCTCCATGGTCAGGGGAGATGTCATTGTTAGTGAGTCTCGCAATCCATGTTCGATTGACAAACCTCACTTATTGGGCAATAGCTAGGTTAGAAGGACATTTGTCAATTTCATTGAATGTCTCCCAATATCTGTTGTTATATGACTTCAAAGTCTCCTGAGGCCCTATATCAATAGCCAGCAAATGATCAACCTTCTTGGGCGTCTTGGTGTTTGTTTTGAATTTGGTAACGAATGCCTCTACAAGCTATGCCCAAGTGGCAATGCTGCCCTCAGGCAATTTTTCCAACCAAGCCAAATCTAAATCCCCTAGGCTTGATGAAAACAAGATCCACATCAACACATCGTTCCTTTTATAAATAACCATGACTTGTCAAAAATGACTAAGGTACATCTAAGGATCTGACTTCCCATCATAGATTGAAAACTTCAGTTGGTAGAAGCCTACAGAAGAGGTGCGCTCTTGATCTCCGGTGAGAATGTTGTGCTCTACAATCTTGTCAGATCCCTGTCCGCTAGCACATAAACAACACGTGGCATTGACATTACCACCTTGATGCTATGCGTCTTGGAAGTCAACCTCTACAAAGATGACATCCTTTAAGGATGGTTCACTTGGTCTATTTCCCTTATTCGAACCCTTTTATCAAGAACAGTCCTCAAGTCTTCTGATCTTGGAAACTCTGAATAATAAGACGATATCTAATGAGAATGTGAGGGGCGATGGCTACTCTCTTGTGAATAGGATCTCTATCCTAGATCTCTCAGACCTTGCGTGATACGAACGTGACCTCAGAGATCGTGATTAAGAGTCACCTATCCTATGGTTTCTTCTACTACCAGAAAGCAGTAGCGTAGGATGTATAATCTGGTCCCTAGAAAGATGAGATTGAGTGCAGTCATCACGGATTTTATCCCGAACGACACCTTTTCCCCTCACCTAGCACTTCAGAAGCTCCATATCCGCCACTATCTTCCTTATTATCTCATTACACTCCCTAACTCTATTATCCAAGCCTTAGGCATTGGACATTCTTCGTCATTGATGTTCTTATAGGGTTGGAGAACATTGAGAAGAATGAAGGCGCTTGTCGCACACGTCACTATGAGGCCCTCTTCTAGGCTGAGTGCCTAGATCTTGCATTGGATCAACAAACGGAAAATCTCTGTGCCTCCTATTAGCCTTAGGAGTCTGGCCATCGACGGTGGAGAACGGAGGATGTTTATTGTTTGCTATTAAAATCTTTTAAAGGAGCTTGATCAAAAGGCTTGTTCTCTGTATTTCCCAAAGACGACGCCAATTGTACGAGTACGAAATAATTGTCGCTTATATAATCCTGGTAATCAAGCTTACGCTCCTCGAAACAATGTCATATGGCCTAAAACCAGAAGAATACGTTATCGGCAGGTGTGTGCCGGAAAACCTCTTTCATGCTTAAGTTAGTACTCAAGATCAATATGGATAGAAGCTCTATTGAATCTTGTGAATAGAATTGTGTTACCTTCTTTTAAGTTATCTATGAGTTTTTATAATTTCCGCTTGGCAAAATCATATTAGGATTCTAATTCCCCATCGTAGAATCCTACTAGGAATCATCTTCATAAAGGATAATGCCCATCATTTAACGCCCTCATCACTAAATAAAGTCACAACTCCTTGGTTAGTAACTGGGCAAATCATTAGTCCAGTCACTTACCCAATGTGTAGTCAACTGAGTCTGGCTGCTTCTAAGAACAAGCACCATACCAAGCTAACCTAGCTCGGCGTGCCTCTTCACCTCACGCGGACTTACCTCGGCACTCTAACAAGCTATCTAAACTAATTTTGCATGGCCAAACATGCAGAGACGATTACCCAGTTTGGCGATGTCTGTTGTTTGCTCGCCTAAATGTCAATAGCTCATCTGAAACCTTGCAACCCATAGACTAACCCAAAACGAGCCTGATTTGGCCCGACCCAATCATCTCAACACAAATCTCCCTCTCAACATTCATAATTTATAAATTATATACAAATTGAGCATGTAATTTAGGTCAATGATAACAATGATATGAGAGCTATTGTGGGATGGATATGATTTCTTTTTTGCAATTCCATGCATAGCACAAGTGGACTACTAGTAATATATGTTTAAAAGAGCACTCAAGCCATAAGTCTATTTCTGAATCTTTTGGGCCATTAGGTCCAAACTCTAATCTCTTTGGGTCAGAAGGACACAATTTGTCCAAAAAAATAATTGTCTGTTGCAATCACCCTATCTATTGAAATCACCCAATTCGTTTATTTGTTAAAATTTACCAAACCTATTTTTTTATCTGTTGAAATTTACCAAGATACCTATCTATTGAAATATGACATATGCCACTAATTCAATACCATATTTGTTGAATATCACATATTTATCTACTTTACCACCACCATCTACTATCGCCGGTCGTCACAACCAACAACTTTTTTTGGTGCCCACAAATTTTTTTAGCATATCCTTATCGCCAAATAAAATTTTACATTAAATCTAATAGTTTATATCCTTTTTAAATTAGACTTTTCACCAATTTTCTCTATTTAAAAACATTGTTTTGTGTTGGATGGTTGTATTGTAGAATGGAGAAGCTGCGACTCTGTACAAAGGCTGGAAAGGTCAAGACTGGGGGTGCAATCATGTGCCTCGCAGGAGCACTGACTATTAGTCTCTATAAGGGTAAATCATTTTACATTGGACATCATACAACCCATCATCAGATCATCTCCCATAAAGCTAATCATCATTGGACACGTGGCTCTCTATTCCTGGGGTTTAGTGTTCTATCCTATGCTACGTGGTTCGTTGTCCAGGTATATTCATACATATACCCAATCCAATTCCATTCATCCAACGGCTAACAAATGTAATTTGAATTTTTTTTTAATTCGAAGGAAATTTCATTAATTAAAGCCAAAGGACAGATATAAGAGTCCATCTAAACTAAAACTTACACCAAACAAAGTAGAAATATAGCAAGAATCACACAGGAAAGAAGCTATGAAAATATTTAGACACACATTATGTGTTTGTGCTCGTACTGTGAAGTAGAGCCGATCATAAGAATTTGACAATAGAGCATGTCTGAGATAAATCATAAATTCCAACCACAGAGAGGGTAAACATAAAAATAACACCCTTGATGAACTCTCACACACACAATAGCAAAACAAGACACAATCAAGAACCAAAAAATCAAAAACAGAGAATAAAGACACAAACCCACTAACCAAACAACATCTAGCAGCGGCGACAATAGATTCGATGGTAGTGAAGGCAGCAAATTCAGCATAGCAAGAGATGGTGCAAGCGACAAATCTGGGGAGAGAGACGAAGAAACTAGCAGAGCAAGATGGTGAGCAAGGAAGAAGATGGAGGCGATGTCAGATAGAGAAGAGGAGAAGTGACGGATCTAGTGAGGGCCATAGCCAGTGTTGAAGCGAAGAGGAGAAGAAACACCTCACTAAGGTGGAAAGCCATACCTTCCAAGTTATTGGACTACAAAAACAAAAAACGAAGGGAATGAAGGGGTTAGGAGGAGGGGAGAGGAGGCCGGAGGTTGCGGAAAACCTCACCGCCGGCAACCACAAACTTTGAAAATCTTAAAAGGGGAAAAGTTTACAGAGAAAAGCCTTCAACCTAGAGAGAGAAAAGGGTGACAGACCACCAAAAAGTTGAAATCATACGTAGATTGACTGTGGCAAAGGCAAGTGATAGATGTACACATTTTGAATATTAAATTAAAAAGATTATATTCTCCTTTAAGTTTTAATCATTTTTTTTTCTATCTTTTTTTCACTTTAAAATTTCATATCTTGTATTCACACACACAAAATAATAATAATAATAATAATAATAATAATAATAATAATAATAATAATAATAATAATCACATAATTTAAAAAATAAAACATTAATTTTAAATGTGATAAAATCATATGATTACAATTATTAAATCAAAATATTTTTTTAGTTTTTTTATTTTTTATTGATAATTTACATATAAAAGTCTTAAAAATAAACTGATACCTAGTGGTGGGCTCTCACGAATACAATAACACAGTCCAATCTTCTCTCCCACCCCAACGGACAGAAGCTATACACCGAGGTTATGTTTGGTTTGCTTTTTTTAAAAAAAATAAAAATTAATTTGAAAAAAATAAATATTCAAAAGATTTTTTTTTTAATTTTAAAATTATATATGACATATCAAAAAAGATAAAATTATATAAAAATAAGAAGTGTTCTTTGATTCTTTTTTTTCTTGCACTAAATTAATTTTTTTTTTTTTTTAAACATTCTGAAACAAATTTCTAAGATCAGACCAAACATAGCCTTAATTTTTCTATTTGGACATACAAACAATAATCATCATGTGTATACGTTGATGATTATTGTGTGGGAAAAAAAAAAAAAAATTTGATATACTTTTGAGTAGACAAATGTATAATTTTCCTTTGAAAGTGAATAACCGTGTATTTTTTTTATATATTTATTTATAAGGAATATGGTTTTGGCTTTTTGTAACCATCATTTACAGGCGAAGCTATTTAAAGAATTTCCATATAAATATTGGGCAACAATGTTAACGTGCATAATAGGATTCATGCAATCAACGGTGATTGGCTTATGGTTGGGTAAAAGTAAGGCTTCCTGGAGCTTGGGATGGAATATCCAACTCATTACCATCATTTATTCCGTAAGTTTATGTTTTTATTTTTACTCATAGTTCTCATATTCAAACTTTTTTTTTTTTTTTAATTACTGTTTGTTCAGTTGCAAAAATAATTCTTTTTAAATTATCCAATCACGTTTGTGATTTTGTTTGATAATTTCAAGTTCTATGAAGTTTATCGGTTATACATAAAGAAATTAATAAATAACAAAAATAGTAATAATTAAAAAGTCAACAATCATTGCTAGACAAACCAGGAAGAAATAAGGTCCTCTTTGAAAATTGGTTATTTTAATTGGTCTTTTTATTTTTTATAGAAAGATATGAAAAATTAAAAAAAAAAAAATTTAAAAAGTGATTTGGTAACTTAGAGCATCTTCATTAAACTAGACATACAAGTTCACTTTTTAGTCTCGTTTTATAAACTCAGTTATGTGTAAGCAATATAATTAGTTGATGATTAGAAAATATATGAGAGAAAATGTTACCTTTAATATCCTAATTGATTATCATATTACTGAGCTTAAAAATTGAGTCTAATTTTTTGTCTAGAATAACAATGCTCTTTAGCTAACATAGTGAATCACTTAAATTTCACCTCTATCAAACTAGCTATCAAGTAAGTCCTTTTAGTTTTTGTGATTTTGACTCAACAAATATAACTAGTGATTTCACATAATCAAATATTCAAAAAAATTTACTTTTCATATTTTGAAAATAATTGTATTGAGTTTATAAAAAATAATTCTAAATTAAAATGAATAAGAATAATATATAAATAATATGGAGAAAGAATATAGAATTTGTTGGACAATATATTTAAAATGATGTATAGCCAAAATAGAAAAAAATAACTTTCAAGTCAAAATATAACAAAATTTTAATTAATTTAATAAAAATAGTGTTTGTGTGGGTGATTTTCTGACCACATTGCAATCTTAGTATCTAGCTGGAGAGCACCGGCAGAATAAATGGCACCTGACTAACCTGCAATAGAAAGAGAAGACTCCGGCAGTGGTTCGTCCACCCGGGAGCACTCCGACAATCAAGTCAGTATATCTCTCAAAGATAAATCAAGTGTTAAACTCACAAGCTTGAGTATCAAAAGCATACCTTAGACCCATGGGGTGCCTTTCTTTTATAGCCAACATAAACCTAGTCCCAATAGAAGCCTAACTTCTATGGACTCAGGATTACTGCTAATCTTAAACTCCCAGTAAGATTAGGATAAACTCTCTATGAGTTTTATCTTAATACAAATTAAAGTCTTCTCTCATTCTAGGACTCTTGCCCCTCATCTGCTTATCTCAGATTCCGATATCTTCGGAGGTAACCTCGGCCTATCCGAGATGACCTCGACATAACAACCAGGACACGTGGCACCTCGGCTGACATGTCGGCGTCACCTTGACTTTAACTTGTAAATTTTTCTCAAAAATTTCATAAAGTGTTTTAACCATCATCCTTTATCATAACCTCGCTTAACTTCAGCTTGTAAATTATTCTCAACATTTCAACAAGTGTTTTAACCATCTTCCTTTCGATACGACCTCGTTTAAACTATAACTTGTAAATTCACAAAGAATTTCAACAAGTGTTTAAACCAATCTACTTCCGATACGATCTCGGTTTAACTTCAACTTGTAAATTCACACAGAATTTCAACAAGTGTAAATATGACCTCGGTTTAACTTCAACTTGTAAATTCACACAGAATTTTAACAAGTGTTAAACATCATCTTCAGTTTAACTTCAACTTGTAAATTCACACAGAATTTCAATAAGTGTTAATATCACATCGGTTTAACTTCAACTTGTAAATTCACACAGAATTTCAACATGTGTTAAATATGACCGTCGTTTAACTTCAGCTGTAATTCACACAGAATTTCAACAAGTGTTAAATATGACCGCGGTTTAACTTCAACTTGTAAATTCACACAGAATTTCAACAAGTGTTAAACACCATCTCGGTTTAACTTCAACTTGTAAATTCACACAAGAATTTCAGCAAGTGTTAAATATGACCTCGGTTTAACTTCAACTTGTAAATTCACACAAAATTTCAACAAGTGTTAAACACCATCTCGGTTTAACTTCAACTTGTAATTCACACAGAATTTCAACAAGTGTTAAATATCATCTCGGTTTAACTTCAAACTTGTAAAATTCCCACAGAATTTCAACAAGTGTTAAACACCATCTCGGTTTAACTTCAACTTGTAAATTCACACAGAATTTCAACAAGTGTTAAATATCAATCTCGGTTTAACTTCAACTTGTAAATTCACACAGAATTTCAACAAGTGTTAAACACCATCTCGGTTTAACTTCAACTTGTAAATTCACACAGAATTTCAGCAAGTGTTAAATATGAC